GTCAAAAGATACAAAGTAAATATCCTGACATCCCTGTTTTTCCTGTTCATTCGCTAGTCCGTTTGTGACAAGGCCCATTCAAAAGTCTGAATCACTGGATTTGGACTCTAATAAGCTCTGTAGGTTTCTATTATCATCAATGGAAACATGGTTTTGACGGTTTGTGTGTGTGCGATGAAATCCACTTTTAATGAATGAAAATCTATTCCTTCCACGTCTAATTATAAGACTTGGAAGGATGGGAACAGGCACCATTAATAACTGAAGGCCACCTCAGTGTGGAAGTGAATTCTTCCACTTCAGCAGCTTTGACACTTCCTTTTCTCTTAAAACTGGGGGCTCTGTCTGAGACGCCAGTTTTTAAATCCCATTCTTCTGTCACACAGGCCAGTTTCTCCTCTCAAAAGCAAAGAAATCATATGGAGACATCCCTATTAATGTCTTCTCTAGTCCACATGTTGTTTAGCACTGCTGCCATGCCTCACCCCAGAGGTGGCTGCATTTTGACACTGGATGAGCAATCTCTCAATATCCAGACTGCAAAGTGCTGTGGTGAAACTCATTAGGGAAGATTTTATATTAGCAAACAGGGTAACAAACCCCAGTTCATTCTCTCTCTTCTCCTCAGACGTGCATTTTGTTCACAGGCACTGAGAACAGCTGAGCCAGCGGGTGACTGCAGTGGGCAGCATTCTGAATCAATTATACGGCACCACTCTAGGTGACTAGCAATACTCAAACGTTAAATCTGGGAGTACCAATCCACAGAAGATGCGGAAGCTGTGTGAACTCGTCCTGAGCTGGAACAGGGACTGCAGGGTGGCTCGACCAGGCGCTGGAGGACAGCTACAAACACCATGTGAAAGAGTTTTGGGGGAGATAGATGCAGGCTCTCAGAGGGGCTGCATCCAGGCAGCTCAGGACTCCAGTTCTGATCCGTCCCTCCTCACCAGACTGCACTAGGGCTCAGACAACCCCAGCAATTCCTCACCAAGGCCTTGCCCCAACACCTCGCTTACTCATGGAGCTCCTGCTTCCCCGATGGCCTCACATGCACTGGCCTTTGGGGGAAGAGGCAGGGCTCAGGGGAGAGGCGGGGCGGGGGGCGGAGCCTCAGGGGAACAGGTGGGGCAGGGGGAGGTTCCAGCACTCCTGCTGTAGTGTCTGGTTTTCAGAAATTTGAAAGTACGCAACCCTACACCCAAGTACAGACAGCTCCATTCACCCCCACCGCTCCCACGCTGATCTCCGTGTGTCCACCAAAGCTCACACACCAGGCACAGCCAGCAGCTGCCATGACTCTCTGCCATATCTTGGCTGGGGAATCCGATCGTGGCAGCTGGCTGGGCCGAGCTGGGCTGCTAGATCCTCCCCACCCCAAATCACAGTTGATCCATGCCCCCAGAGTCTGACGGCATGAGGGTCCCCAGGTGACTGGAACAGCAGTGCAGGGTGCTCCCCCATAGGGGGATCCCATAGCCCCTGGTTCCCCGGGGGAAGGGAATAGGATGGGGAATGGAACCCAGGCATCCTGGATGACAATGCTGCACACCCAGACCCTGGGGTGCAGGGGAAGTCCGGGATGCAGAATGGGACCCAGGCATCCGGGAGGGCAGTGCAGGTCACTCGCCCTTATCAGAGGGACTGTGCTGGGGAATGAGAGCCATGTCTCCCCATGCCAACAGCTGCCTGAGCAAGTCGCCTGTCACCCTTCCCTCCCCCTCCTGCTCTGCAGACAAAAAACTGGTCGGTGTCCTGTGCTTCCCAGAACCGCAGCGCGTTATTGATCTATATATAGAGGCGGGGAGGGGCCGCGGAGCAGTCGCACTGAGGCTGAGCCCATCCCAGCAGTCAGCTGCTCCTCCGATCTCTGCACCTCATCGCCCTCCAGCCGGACCCTGCTTCCCCAATCCGTCTCCTCCGATCTCAGTAAGACGCTGCTTCTTTCTCTCCCGCCCGGAGCGGTGGCTGTGGGTATATTGCGTTGCCCCTTGGGCTGTATGCAGGACCGGGGTGCCAGGGTCCAGGCTTAGAGGGTGGTTGGGAAAACTTGAAGGGAGGCATCGTCTTTCTGAACGGCGAAGAACGGGGCAGGCTGCGTGGGCAAGGTCAAAGGATCTGACGGGGACGTGGGCTCAGCTGCTGCCCTCTAGGACGGCACCAGGGGTTAGCTGGTGCAAGCTGGAGTTACTTAGCTCTGGGCAGGGATCAGAAATACTCAGAGTGAGGCCTCTGTCTGTGTCAGTCGGTCTGTGTCCGTCTGTCGTGAGTCTGTCTCCATTTCTCATGTCTTTTTTTCTCCTCTCTCCTGCGTGTCATTTTAACCCCCTAGTGCTGACACTGAGCCTGGATGGTAGCAGCGGGACAGCTTGTATGCGGGAAGAGCATGTGGCAGGGAAAGGGGGGGGCAGAGAAGGGAGCTGGCTGTGCGGGGGCTGGTTTGGGTTAAATAATCTCTCTAAGCAGAGGCTAAAAATGTTCCTCGGTGTCTCTCTCTCTGCTCGTATCTGTTCTCTTCTGTTTGTGCGTCTGTCTCCCTCCCTCCATCCCTCTCCCTTCCCCCCGGCCCAACTCTGTGTCCGACGCATGGAGAAGCCATCCAGGCCCCCTTTGCTGCATGTCAGGCCCCTCCGGAATGGGTCTCACCCATCTCTACCTATTGGGGATCAGTCTATTCCCTCCCTTCTGCTTTCACCCCCTCCCAGCGCCCCTCTAGCCCCTTATTCCCAGCTGCAATGTGGACAAGTGGGGCAGGACATGGGGAAAGCCAGGCTGGTTTAACCCCCTCATCCCACTCGGGAAATGGCCTTTATTGGTCCTCAGACGTGGTCCTGACATTGGCATGCAGCATAGTCTGGGGAGGGTTCAGCCCTGCAGACCGCTCCCCATCATGCAGGGGGGAGGAATAGCTCAGTGGTTTGAGCATTGGCCTGCTAAACCCAGGGTTGTGAGTTCAATCCTTGAGGGGGCCATTTAGGGATCTGGGGCAAAAATCTATCTGGGGCTTGGTCCTGCTTTGAGCAGGGGGTTGGACTAGATGACCTCCTGAGGTCCCTTTCAACCCTGATATTCTATGATAACCACAGCATAGCATGAAATTCATAGATTTCCAGACGGGACCATTATGATCATCGAGTCTGAACCCCTGGATAACACAGGCCCATCTGTAACCCACACATGCTGCAGATTAAGCCAAATACTTCTTGTCCTACCTGCACTACAGTACAATGACTGCAACACAATGCACCTCACGGCACCAAAACACCATGCAACGCAATGCCAATCGATGCACGTGGAATTCACTGCGATGAATACTTTGTGCTTAACGAGACTACAGGGCAATGCCAGGTCACGCACGGCACACTGCAGCAGAGGGAACAGAACGCAATACATATTCGCTGTCAAACAGCACACAACTGCAAAGCCATAAATCCCGTGCAATTCACTGCAGTGCCGTGGAATACACTGTAGCAAAATAGCATCAGGACAAAAAAGCAGGGCTGTGCAACACAGTCAGACACAACTCCCAGGGAGAGGCCGTGATCCACAGATGGAGACTCTGCCGGCCCCAGAGCTCGGCTCCCATTGCCCTGTCCGTTCCAAGCCAGATATTTATAAGTATTTGTCACCTTGCAGCCATGGGCCCAGCAGATACCACGCAAGGTTAACATTCCTCCAGTAGGTCAGGCTGCAGAGGCCAGACACATGAGGAGGCAGCACAGGGGGAAGGGAAATGACTCATTTATCCCAAGCAGGGGTGGGGAGGGCAGGGAATGGGACTTGGCGCCGTTCCCCTCTAGGGGGCTTTGGCTCCAGGACTGGCTGGCTCAGGGGGTGGGAATGGGGGTACATGAGTCACCTTCTGTCCCCTCTCTGCCAGCCCGCCCCACCGCCCAGCCATGTCGAACTCCAAGCAGCGCCTGATGCAGGGCATGCACCAGGACCTGAGCTGCCCCAGCTGCCTGAAGCTGTTCAAGGCCCCCGTGACGGCTGAGTGCGGCCACACCTTCTGCCTGGAGTGCCTGTCCCAGGCCTTGGCCTGCCCCACCTGCCAGGCCCCCACCAAGGTGGAGCAGCTGCACATCAACCAGCAGATGGAGCACCTGGTGCAGTGCTTCCGGCAGGTGCCCCACGACCACTGCGAGGAGCACATGGACCCCCTGAGCGTCTACTGCGAGCAGGACCAGCAGGTCATCTGCGGGGTGTGCGCCTCGCTGGGCAAGCACAAGGGCCACAACATCATCACGGCCGCCGAGGCCCACCAGAGGATGAAGGTAACAGACCCATGGGCCCATCTAACCCGGTATCCTGCCTCCTTGTCCCCCCCATGGATCAGACCCATGGGCCCATCTAGCCCGGTATCCCGCCCCCTCCCTGCCACC